GAGGGGCCCTGACCCCCCCCGACCCCCCGGGTCCCAGCTGGTCTCTGATCTCTGGCTCTTGGTTCTTGCCCCTCCTCCCTCCCCTCCTTCCACCTTCCCATCGCAGGAAAAAGGGACGAACCATCACCTGCTGGCCGACTCCCGCTCGGCCCTGACGCGTCTCAACCAGCTTGCCCACCAGCTGGCCTTCGACTCCGTCTTCTTCCGCATCAAGCAGCAGCTCTTGTTAGTGGCCAAGATGGAGGTGAGGGTCTTGCGCCTGCCATTGGCTTGGGGGGGGCAGCAGACCCCCAGGGTGTGGGGCGTCCTGGGTGTCTAGGGAGGGAGGGAGGGCAAGGGGCCAGCCGGCCAGCCTGGGCCCCCTCCCTTCTGCTGCTCTGGGGGGAGGGGCGCTGCTTTCAGGGGCCTTTCTCTGCTGCCTTGTGTTGGGACAGAGCTGGAGCATGGTGGGGACAGGCGAGATGCTGATGGACGACCTGCCGAACTTCAGCCTCACCCCCCTGGAGTACATCAGCAACGTGAGCAGAGGGGGCAAAGGGGCACCGAGGGGGGGGGTTTCAGAGAACGCCCAGGCTAAGCGAGGCTGCCCTTCGCCCCTCCCCGCCCCACCTGGGGGCATGGAGAAAAGGCTGCCCGCTTGCGGTAATGGCTTCCTGGACCCGGCGAGCCAGGTCCGGCCACCCAGAGGGGCCCAGGAGCTGCTCAGTCCCCCACGCCACCCCCAAGACCTCAAGCCAAGGCCTTGCCCAGGGCCCGGCATTCTGAGAATGTGGCCCCTGGGCCTGTTGTGGGGCTGCTTCAGAGGGGCTGGGTCTGAATTCCCTTCCAGGAGCTGCCTGGCTGGGCAGGGGGGGGCGCGTGATAGAGGCTGCGCATCCCACGGGCCATCCGTCTTGCTCCCCCCCCCCAGATCGGCCAGTACCTGATGTCTCTGCCTCTCCACCTGGAGCCCTTTGTCACCCAGGAGGACCCGGGGCTGGAGCTGGCCCTGCGCGCCGGGAAGCTTCCCTTTCCTCCAGAGCAAGGTGAGGGGAGGCCCCGGGAAATGTGTGGGGTGTGTGGGGGGGGGGATGGCAGAGCGACTCCAGGACTCCCCTGCCCTCCAGCTTTTCCAGAGGGACGGTCTGGACACCAGGCTATCCCCAGGCAGGGGGAGCCCCCCCTCTGAGGCAGATGGGGAGGGGATGGGGGGCGCTCCCTGGGCAACTCCTGCCTGCCCTCTCCTGCGGCCTTGAGTTTTCCTCTCCCGGCCCTTCCTCTCCTCCAGGCCTCACAGGAGGGGGGCCGCCGCCCCCTCCCTCTGCAGCAGCCCAGCCCCTGCCCCTGCCCCTTTGCTGGGAGCGTGCAGAGGCTGTGGGGTTGGCCACCTTGGCAGGTGGGCCGGGGACCCTTGATGCGGCGTGACTCGTTCTGCCTTTGTTAGCCACGGAGTGGGGGCCTTCAAACCCCCCCTCCAGGCCACCGTCTCCCAACCCTGTCTTGCCTTCAGCTTCTGTTAGCAGTGTGTGTGTGTGTGTCTTGGGCCGCTAGGCGTCATCCGAGGCCGGGTCTGTCTGGGAGGCGCCTGGGACTGGCCTTTGGGGTGAAGGCTTGAGGGGGGGCAGTCAGGACCCGTGGGGGCTTCCTGGGAGTGTTGAAAGGCCCTTGGCGCTCCCTGTTCAGAAGCACTGGTGGCCCCCTCAGCCGCTCCCAGTCCCCGCGGGAAGAGGAGGCGCGCCGGTGTGGCAAAGTTGGGGGTCACTCCACCTCCCCCCTCCCTGTCGCCCCCCCCCTTGCAGGGGATGAGCTTCCCGAGCTGGACAACCTGGCCGACTACTGGCTGGGCTCCCTGGCCAGGGCCACCATGCAGACCTACTGCGAGGTCATCCTGCAGATCCCCGCGCTCACCCCCCACTCCACCAAGCAGCTGGCCACGGATATTGGTGAGTGGGAAGCCGGTGGGTGGGTGGGGGCACCCAGGGGCAGAGTTGGCAGACGTCTCGTCCAGGGGCTCCCAGTCTGGGGGTCCCCAAAGGTTGTCAGACGGCCACTCCCAGAAGCCTTCCCCGCTGGCCCAGTTCTCTGAGCGGCCACGGTGAAGAACCGCTTTCTGGCCCAGCCTCGTGGGCTGTGGCCGGCCCTGCACCCTGGAGGCCCGGCAGTGAGGAACCGCTTTCTGGCCCAGCCTTGTGGGCTGTGGCCGGCCCTGCGCCCTGGAGGCCCGGCCCAGAGAGAGCGAGGGCTGCTCCCGGCCCTCGCTGAGAGAGGCATCTTGCCACCCCCCTTTGCAGATTACCTGGTCAACGTCATGGACGCTTTGGGCCTCCAGCCGTCCAAGGCCCTGCAGAGGACGGTGACCCTCCTCAAAACCAAGCCGGCGGATTACAAGCAGGTGGCCAAGACCCATCCCCGGCGCTTGGCCAGCAGCATCGCAGCCATGAGGGGCCTGGACTACTGACCTCGGGGGCTTCTGGGCCAAAGCTGGGGCTGGACCCTCGGCGGGAGCCTGGGTGTCAAAAGGGACCTCTGGTGGGGGACCCTCCCCGTGTGCCTGGAGCTCTGCCCTTCCCTCCCAGTGGGGGAGGAACAGCCGTCATGGGCCGGCAGAAGGCCCCCCCCTGCCCCACGATGGGGATGGAAGAGGTTGTATTTCTGAGTCACAGAATAAACACCTGGAAGCAGCACTGGCTCCTCTCTGGGAGGGAGGTGGGCTCAGTGGGGGGAGAGCAATGGCTTCAGCCCAGTTGGCGGAGGGGGTGGCGGAGGGGGAGCTGCTCCCCCCCCGCACACACACACACACTGGCTGAGCTGCCAGGGGATTCACGGTGGCCTGGTGTTAGGAGGGCCACTCGGGCAAGGGGGCCGTTGGGCGACCAGGAGCCCTCTTGCGGCTTCCTTCTCCTGGCCGCCGGTGCGGAGGTGTTCTTCCTGGCCAGGTGGAGGGTTCTCTTCCCCCCCCCCTCAAAGGCCCTAGGGCGAGAGGGTGCTTCTCAGTTCCGCATTTCCTTTCTCCAGGGGGGGTGTTGCTCAGAAGGCAATGTGAAGCCCGCCGGGTGCCTTGAGGGCGGTGTGAGTGGGGGCACCCACCTTCTCATTTTCTGGAAGTGGGCAGGGTGGGAGAAGCCTGGCTGGGGAGTGGCGGGCTTCTAGAGCTGGGCTGGGTCCCTCTGGGCAAGGGGTTTCTCCCCCACCCCACCTCACCCCACCTCATCACCTGGCTCTGCATCGGCCTCCTTAGGTCCCGGCTGGTGGCTTGCCAAGAGAGCGAGGCAGCCGCAACCAGCCAGGCCGAGGACTGTCCATGACAGGTGTGAGTGGCTGTCGGCGTGGCTTCAGTCCCTTGCCTACAGCCTACGAAAGAGGCCGCAGGAGCTGCCTTCGGCTGCCCCAGACCGGTTCCCTGGCTGGGCACCTGCCCTCTTGGTGACTCTTCCCGTTTTTATGGGGCTGCTCCTGGCTGAGCTCCTGACCCACCCTGGGTGGGGACACTCTTGCAGCAGGTCTCCGGCACCACCAGCGCTGGGCCTGCCTGGATCAGAGGGCGTGGGGTGAGGGTAGGGGTGGGCAGACCACTGCTGCTGCCAGGCCTAAAGGGAGGAACAGAGGCAGCCAGCTCTCCCCTCCCCACCAGCCAGCCAGCCAGCCAGCCATTCGGGGTCGGAACGGTAACGGTAACGGGGTGCCATGCCCAGTTCTTTATGGCAGCCAAAAGCCGACCTTCCTGACACCGCGAAAGCAGAGAGGAGAGAACAGAGGAGGAGGACTCGAGGTGGGGGGTTCCAGGAGACAGAGAAGCTGGTGCCCTCCTTTCCTTTTATTGCTGGCCCTGCAGGAACTCCACAAAGGCTGCTAAATGGCAACAAAGCAAGCCCGCCTGGGGGGGGGGCAGCGGGGACCCGTCTTTCTTTCAGCAGATCCGGCTCTTGAATGTGGAGCGCCCGGGAACCTCCCTCCGTGGGGAGATGGGGCAAAGGTTGCCGGGAGGATGCTGCCCTGGCCTGACCCGAGAGGAGCAGCAGCAGCAGGAGGAGGAGGCCTGGGGCAGGACCGCTGGCCGGCGTGCTGTGGCCGAGGGTCCCCGAGAGGAGAAAGGGGGTCCTTGGCTGGGCCAGGAGGGGGCCTCTCGCGCCCACCGCGTTCTGTGTGCAACATCAGCGTGTCCAGCAAAGTGAGGGTGAAAGGAGTGCTTAGAGTGGGGAGGGGACCACCCACCTCCCTGCCTGGCATGGTTCCGAAGGAACCTTGGCCCTCTTGAGAGGCCAGATGGGGAATCTGCTGTGCTTCCGTTGGGACGCAGGGCGACAGAGAGAAAGGGGGTGGCTCGGTGAGTGTTGACGCGGGCGGTGCCACGCAGGTCCCGGAGGGGGTGACCGGTGGGTGCCTCTGGTCTTCCTCCCACCCAGGCTGGGGCTTAAGTCGCCTCCTGGTCCTCTGCCGATGCCTCTCCATCATGATCTGGCTCCACCGGATGTTGGGGGGTGGCCCTCCCCCGGAAGGAGTTGTACCTGGGTGGTGGGGTGCCCGGTTCTGACGGCACTTCCCGGGCAGACGGGCTGCCCTTCGTGGGCTCACCCGGGGGCCCGTCCCCTTGGAAGGCTAGGTTGGTGTAGGCTTCCAGTTCCCCGGATACCGTTGGAAGGGTGCTGGTGCGCTGGGGCCTCCTCGGTCTCTGCCTCAGCCCCCGGCCCCAACCGATCAGCCTCAGGATGGTGATCCACAGGAAGTCGATGATGATTTCGCCAAACTCAATGAGGCAGAGGACCGAGCCCCCCATCCAGAAGCCAAACTGGCCACCCAGACTGGAAAGAAGCCAGACAATCTGAAAGGGAGGGGGCAGATTGAAAACATGAGGGGGGGCAGCTTCGGACTCCATGCACCCCAGGAGCTCCTGGCTGTGCGGATGGAGGAGGGTCTTTCCTCGGGGACAGATCCAGACTTCCAAAGCAACATCCTCCCCACTAGACATTTTCTATCAAAGCCCAGGCTCTCCTTGTGTCAGTGACACTCTCGCTCCCTCCCGGTAAAGATCACATTGGATTGGAAGGCCAGGACCTGGAACGGTAGCCGGACCGATGGAACAAGACTTTAGGTTTTAAAGCATCTAGAAACGAGATCTGAACACTGGGCTTGTGGTGTCTATATCTTGTATGGGCTGTGGAGACCGTGACTAGCTGGCGAAGGCCACCACTGGCCCAGCCTGGCTGCTCAAAGCGCCGGGCCCTCTGGCCAAAGTCCGGCTGTGCCGTGGCTGCTCACCGTGGTGGTTGCCGACTCCGAGATGGTTCGGTAGTTGTACTCCTGGAAATAGATGTTGAGTTTGATGATCCCGTTTCTGCAGAAAAGGCCAGGAGAGAAGGAAGGGGTCAGGATCCCTGAACTTCCCTTCGTAGGAGGGCTTTTTTGCCGGACATGCCTCCGGGCTGGCCTTGAGTGCATGAACAGCTTTGCTGGTCTGCCCACATGGGAGGAAAGAGGATCTCCAACGCTGGAGGCTCAGCTTGCTCCATGCATATCCCCTCTCCCTGGTCTCGCCAACAGCGGAGGGCGTGGGCACCCGAGGCTCTCCTCCATCTCTGCCTTCTGTCCTCACGCCTCGTCAGGGGAAGCGGGTGTGACCAAAAGCCCCAGGCCAGTTAGCTTTGTCATGGGAAACGGAACCGAGGCTCACCACTTGGGGTCCAGGAACCCGCCGGCCACGACGCCACGCTGGTTCCACCGCTCCCGCGGCGTGGTCACGTGGCGCCCAACCACTTGCTGCCGGCCTCTCTGATCTCTTGCCTGGGCAACCGGGGCCTCTCTGTGCCTCCGCCGACTGCGACGGCCGAGAGAGGAACAAGGGTTTTTACTCACCGCTTCAATGTCGTGCTGGTGGACGTGTCTCTTTCGTAGGACAAAATATGGAAAATCCAGTCCTGAGAAGAGGAAGCACAGTGAGGCTGAGCGCAGGGGGCTGGCTGAGGGGGTGCAGCGGGGAGGGGGTGCATGCGCCTCCAAGAGGCTGTACTGGAGGGTTTGGGCATGTTAGCCCACAGAAGGGCCCCCCTCCCTGCCTCCTAGGACTGTTCTTGGGGAGCAAGAGGAAGGCACCCATAGAAAAGACCTGACGCTGGACTATAAGCAGAGGGCCGGGACGGCCACTTTCTGGGTCCTTTCGCCCCCCCCCCCGGGACAGTTTGGCGTTTAGAAAAAGGCCTCCAGCGTACGTTGCTGTTCTGGAGAACCTGTTTGCTTGCTTGTCCTGCTCTCTGCTTGTTTTGTGGCGATTGTTTGCAAATACCCTTCTTTAAATAGTCAGCGACACGTGGGCTGGCTTTGCCAAAGGAGTCTCAGGATTTGAAAACCTTTGGTGTGTTTATATTCATTGTAATTGTGCAACATTGCTTATTTTAAGGTCTACCGGCACCCCTGCAGAGGTGCTGGCGTCTAGGAGGCGATGGGCTAACCCTACTCCCTCTCCCCCCCACCCCCACAAATAGACCGAAAGCAAGGCCCACCTCAGAAGCCTCCGAAGGCCAGTCCGCCATGGAAATGGTCATCTTGTACTGGGTGTTGCTGGGGAAAGAGGTGGGAGGCCCGAGTCAAAACCAGGCGCCTCTCCCCTTGCGCCGCCCACAGCTCCCAAGCCCAGCTTTCTCCCCACGTTTGCCCTTCGGATCAGGGCCGGAGGAAGGCCAGAACTTTCCGCCAGCAAACTCTGCCCGAGAGGCTTCCCGCACTTACTTGCAGGTCTCCTTGCAGGATTGGATGCAAAACTGCCGGTGCGCCACACTGGCGTGCAGAGCGGAATAGCAGTACGCTGCAGGGGAGAGAGCGAGAACACAGGCCACGTCTGATCAAGCAGGAACTGGGCCAGAGATGGGTGCTTCCAGAAGGCCTCCTGCTTTGTCTGAGGACAACCTGCCTCTGCTGGGCCTGAGTTTCACACAACACCGAAAACCCGTCTGGTTGGCCTCAAAGCCTCCCTTTAAAAACGTTCCTGGTCGGTTGGAAGGCGAGCTGGCAAGTCGGGCAGAATAATGAAGCAAAGGGAACGGCTTCCCCTTTTGCTGGTGTGCAGCCGCCCGGCAATTCTGGAGGCTTGGAAGTGCGCGTGGCAACCGGGCTTCTGAGCCAGGAGGAGTCTGCTTCAGGGGACTGGCCATGGGACAGCCCCCCCCCGTCGCCTGCCCTCTCCCATTTCCCCCCAGCTGTGTGGGGCAACGCCTTCCATCACCCCAACCACTGGGCCAAAGAATGCCATGGGGTGGTTCTGTGCAGAGAGACCCACCTTTTGCCCAATGCTGTCTCCCCCTCCCTCCTTCACAGAGAGCCCAGGCACTCAGCTCCACAGCACGTGCTGCAGGATTGGTCCGTGGGTGCCGTTGTGAGCTGGCCGGGGTTTCGCTCCCCCCGCCCCGGTCCACCCACAGTGCGGCTTCTCACCCCAGTCTGGATAAGCTTCGTTGTTGCAGTAATTTGCTCCCTCCGGCAGAGGGACGGAGTAGTGGGCACAGTGGCACGTCTCCACCATCTGAGCCTGGAAGCAGGAGCGCAGGCAGGCCTGGCGGAGGAGAGGAGCCCCGTTAGAGAGGAGGGGGGCCAGCAGCCCTGTGGGGGTGGGCGGTGGGGGTGGTTTCCAACGGGCTGGTCGGGGAGCTCTGGGGTCAGGTCTGGGGCTCTGCTCTGGGTCCATCGGGCAGCCTTGCCGCCTAGCGATTTGGAACCTCTCACTCCGAGCTCTGTTTTTTCTACCTATTTCCATGGATTTTTCGTGTAGGGGGATGAGGAAGGCAGCAGTGAATCCATGCTGGGTTTCAGCCCAGCATGTACAGAATTACATCTCAGGTGCTCAACCCTCTCTCCCTTGGTCTGCTTGAAGTCTGGACTAATTCCTGGAACAGATTTGCACACAGCTCTCCAAAGAGGGTTGTCTCCCTCTCTCCCCTCTCTCCCTACCTCCCTCTCTCTCTCTGTTTCCACCTGCAAACCTAACGTTGCCGGGACCCAGTGCAGGGCTGGATGGCAAGCAGGCCAGGGAACCTTCCCCAGAAAAGGGAACTCCTTCAGAGCTTGTGGTGGCTGGTTTTTGGCACCTTCCTTTCCTTTCTGACTGCTGGCCAGGCCACAAGAAGCCCAGTTCCTTCTTTGTCAGGGTGATTTCTCAGCCAAGGCATGTCTGAAAGCAGGTGTCTGGAACCCCCTGACCCTGGTTCTGTGGAGCCTTGATGGGGGGGTGTCTCTGCCCGGCACCGTCTGGCCTTGGGAAACGTCTTTTCTGGCCCACCTGAAACTCCCCCGGGGAGGAGCCCCAGGACGAGGCAGCCGACTGAACAGCAGGAGGGCTTCTTCACGGGGGACCGGGGGGGGGAGGGACACCAGGTGCGGGGAGAATATCACTCACCTGGATTGAATACAGCGTTTGGTACGTTCCTCCTCCTGTCCCATTCTCTGCGTCTGTGCAGGTGATGCAGGGCTCGGCAGCGTTGGCCCCATCCTAGGCAAAAGAGGAACGTGGTCAGCCCAATCGATTTGTGCCCGGATGGCACCCCCGGGGCCAGTCCCCTTGGGAAGGGGGGGAGGGGGCGGTCAGCCCAATCGATTTGTGCCCTGATGGCACCCCCAGGGCCAGTTCCCACAGGGAGGGGGGAGGGGGGCTAGACTGTTCCTGTGGCCCCTGCCGGGGGGGGGAGCTTTCTCTGATGTCCCTCCGGCCGGTAGCCCCCATCCAAGTTCTTCCACCACTCCCTGGTATGGATCGTGCTGATTCTAGAGGCACTTTTGAAGAACAGGGCACGCCGGTGGTGCCATTGTGAGCTTTATTTCCCCCAGGCTTGTTCCAATCCAGGAGGAGTTTGGGGGGTGGGGGTGTCTTTGCCCAAGCCCAGTGGCTGCTCTGTGGCCCGGCCTGGGTGGAGGGGGCCCGTTGGCCCCTCTGCTCCAGGGAACAAGTGGCACGGGCTGCCCTGCCCCCCCCGAACGGGTCCACCGAGGGCCAGAATAGGCCGGTCACCTGAAACACCGGGTAGTTCTCATACAGGTTCCGGATGGGGATGTCGGAGCCGTTCCCGGTGCAGTCACTGTAAGGGGAGCCCATGCGCTGAAGTTCATCCTAGGGAAAGAAGGGATCCATCATGCCCAACGCAAGGGCCCGCCCCGGCCCACAAGGGGCTTTCCGGCGCCATCCTGCTCCCAACGAGGCTGTGGACCCGCAGGTTTCCTGTCCACCAAGCCAAACTCTGCCATTCTTGCCTTGCATGTAAGGATCAAGATGGACCCAATGCACGGGGAGACATGAGAGAGATCCTGAAAGACCCCCCCCACAGACACACACATACACCCAGCCAGGATGCATGTCTCTGTGTCCCCTCCTCCTCCCCCCCCCTCTGCCTGGCGCAGGGTAGCCCTGACGTACGTACCACCATGACGCCGATGGAGGTCTCCGTCCCTGCCATGGCGTAGATGCCCTGGTCCTTCAGGAAGGGGAAGCTCCTCTGTTCGTGCAGCATCAGCCGGGCCCCAGCAGTGGTGGTGAGGTACGGGATGTAGTTGCTCTGGCTGATGTTCAGGATGAGCTTCAGCCCTGGGGGTGCAAAGCTCCGCCGTCAGCCCCCTCGACCGGCCCTTCTGCCGAGGGGCGGTCAGTGTGGCTCAGGGGGGGTCTGAGCAGGCTTGCCCCACAGCACACACACTCAAGGAAGCCCTTTTTTGGGAGGGAGGGAGGGAGGGAGGGGGGGTTCATCCCGACCTACCAAACTCGGCCCCAGGGTTTGAGGAGATGAGAGGCTTCTTGGACATCCCCCAGTTGAAGACGTAGCAGTTGCCGTGGTCCGGGTGGTAAAGGCGGGTGAAGTTTCTGGTGGGGGAGGGCAAAGACAGCACCTTCAGGGGGGG